CAGTTTATTGTAAACTTTAATCAAACTATATTCTTTGCATGAAAATTTGGCTTTATAGTGCTGACTTAAATATAAAAATAATATACTACATGTTTATTAAACTTATTTTTAAGTAAACAATTAACAATAAACAAATGTACTCTTCTAGACTGTACAAATACCGAGATTCTTATGTACTGTATATACCCACAGTACACGCCTTCGGTTCGGTATTCCTTACACACACTCTTTTGGTACAGACACACACACATGACGTTTCCGCCCCCTGAATTGAACTCTTACTTTAAAAATTGCATGATCCGAGCTGGTAAAACATGTACAAATAAGCATTCAGTCGTACCGTCCAGTCTGGACTACCCAGTGTAATGTCGACCCAGCACGTTGTATGCAATAAATGTAGCCTGGCAATATAACACCAACTTATCAGTTCAAAGATAATTCCTTTCAAAATCAGCTTCAAATTTGCAATTTACAATCAAGTATTTGTAATTTTGACCGGTAAACAATCAAACATTTTTAGGGGGAAGCTAGGACCCCCCCCATCTCTCCCCCCCCCCTTAGTTGCGCGGGTATATGTGAGCTGTATACTGTAGCATTTCTGCTTTCCACATTTTTAACCCTTGAAAATTCCTTACATATTTCCAATTCCTAGTTATACTTCACTTCGCATACCCCAACACAAAGAATCAAAAGAATTCGTAAATATGAAAATTAAATATAAAATTTTTAAAACAATTTAATTTCAAAAATATAGAAATGGATTTTTCAAATTATGAACCGAAACCCTGATTTAAAGATCTCTATTGAAGTTTTTGTTAAATTTATTTTTCTACATACAAGAATGTAAACAAATCTTTTTAAATTTCTTTAAAATTGACTAATAGTAAATTATGATAATTTTATAATCTCGTCTCTGATGTCTTATGTCTTATGGGTAATCTTGGGAGCTATCAGAAGGTTTACATTTTGAATTTGAAGTTTGAATTTATACGATTCCATTACATTTCATTGAAAAGTTCCCCAGATCAAACAAGTAAACAAGAACAAGTGAAGATCGCATAATTAGAAAAAAAATATTTATTTCTTGAACTATTTTTTCATATATCTTTTAGTTTCCATGATCTTTGTCAAACTGTAACCGTCTCCTTATGCTGGGATCAAATGATTTTTCAGCAACACAGCTGCCTGACTTCGATGGAAAGCTGTAACGTTTAATATATCACCAAGAGGATCTTCTACAACTAGAGCAACAAAGATGTTTCTAGAATCAAAAATATGATTTTTCCTTGATATGATATAGGTGGAAAAAAATCCCGATGCTTCCTTAAAAGTAAACAGCTCCTGAGTTGTTACAAGAGCAGCTGAAACAAAAAGCTGTCTAAGTTTTTCCGACAATCTATACCTGGTATCAGGGTTGGTATCAGGGTTGGTTCCCGAAGCGGTTGGTTTTGTAGATTTAGCTTTTTTTGCATCTGATTTTAACTCCTGATCTGAATCAGAACTGTTCTCAGTGCTGTCCAGAGCAGCCATGGATTTGGCAAGAGCATCCTGTACCTGGCAGACATGGAGAGCTTTCATACCAAAAATATTTTCCAACTCTTGGGACCGCTGACACAAGATTATAGAAGGATTTCTTTCATCAAAATGTTTTCCGTCCGAAATCGCCTCTTTAACATGCTGGAGTACAACCGCTGAAATAACACCACTGCCGGGGTTTTCTCCGCGTTCCTGTAAAAAGGAGAATAAAGGGGAGGCTTGGAGGGGATAATAAGGAAGGTTTGAACGCTTGGATACTGTTTCGTTCATATTAGTCTCTTTTTCTTCACCTGCCGATAAGTTTTACTGAAGAAATTCGGAGTACTTTATCTTATTTATAATAAGTAATGAACAGAATTCGTGTTGAAATTGCATGAATGTGTAATTGTTTTTCAACATGATATTTCATGTGTTGTGTATTGTAAATAATTAACGAAAATTGCAACCTTTTTAATCTCTTTCTGGATTGATTCAAATGTTTGCATAAATGATAAAAATAGCAAAGTTGCAACATTCATGGTCATTCAAAATAAGTTTGAATTATTACACAACAATTTCAAAATTTCTTACCTTTTTCTGAGTCAATATAATGTTGTCAGGAGATTTTTTATCTAAACTATAAAACAAAGTTACTGTTCTAGCTTGCGCATTTCTACTGCAGAAAAACTTTTAATAGTTGCTCAATCTTTCAGCATTTTCTCTTTGATAAAACAAAAAAAATGTGCAGATTTACAATTTTTTCATGAATTTTCTAAATTTTACGAAAATCTAAAATTTTTGAAGACAATTTTTTTGTAAATATGAGCATCTAAAAACCTTCCCTGGGGTCAAGTAAGGTCCCAAGCAAAATTTCAGGGCGTTCGGATCAGCCGTTTTTACGTTTATTGGATCATAACAAACAATCAAGCAAAGTATATAAAACACAATGGAACGAATATTCACAATCTTTTCGAGAGAGAGGTTTTCTAAAATATCTAACTTCAGTTGTCAATTACAGATAAAAGTTGTTTTTTTAAAATATTCATTTCTTATCTTGTTCTACGATACACATTCTTTAAACGTCGTCAAATTAGATTTTAAGCAAATCTATCTATCTATCTATCTATCTATCTATCTGTTTATCTATCTATCTATCTATCTATCTATCTATCTATCTATCTATCTATCTATCTATCTATCTATCTATCTATCTATCTATCTATCTATCTATCAATCTATCTATCTATCTATCTATTTATCTATCTATCTATCTATCTATCTATCTATCTATCTATCTATCTATCTATCTATCTATCTATCTATCTATCTATCTATCTATCTATCTATCTATTTATCTATCTATCTATCTATCTTTCTATCTATCTATCTATCTATCTATCTATTTATCTATCTATCTATCTATCTATCTATCTATCTATCTATCTATCTATCTGTCTGTCTATCTATCTATCTATCTATCTATCTATCTATCTATCTATATCTATATATCTATATATCTAACTATCTATCTAACTATCTATCTTTATGTTGATTAATCAAAGAGTGTTATATTATGCAAAATCTAATGTATTCCATGTATATATAGATCTGCGGGTCTGGGGGCTTTTCAAACTCCAGTCCTAGTTCATTTACATCATATATATATATTATATGTTTATCAAATAAATCAGATACAATTAAAGGGTTCAAGGGATACTACAGTTCACTTTCATGTCAATTCACGTTAAACTAAAGTAAACTCCACGTTAGATTGAAATATTATATGTTTTCAATCATCATCATAGAGTACAGAATATATATTAGAGGGAAATTTAAAGAATCTGTCGTTATGAATTTTTTTAGTCCCTTTCAGCCTGAAAGGGAGTTCAAAGTGTACAAATCATGTAAATGTTCACAAATTGTATGCAGTAGAGTACATTAATACAGTATGTTCCCTAGACTATCCATTTCAATTTCGAATTTTTTAAAGCTGTTAAATAAACTTTACAATGAATTAGGTGAATAAAAAACATCATTTGATTTATAGTTATAACGGAAAATCATCGTTTGTAAAATGAAATGCATAGAGTCTATGTGAAATAAGCATTGGTCAATTATATTAATTATTTCATAATTCGGTTTTCTTTTAATATTAATTTTAGATTTTCTATAAAATGATATTCCAGGGCCCAAAAGGTTATATGGCATAAATATGTGAAGTATACCTGCAGTATGAAAACAGTACAAAAAAATGGCCGTTTTACACTTTTTTCTAGTAAATTCCCCTCTAATATATATTCTATTCTCTATGATCATCACTCTATTATTATGAGCATATTGAGAAAAACGCAAAATGTTTTCAATTTCTAATATATTTATCGGATAAATCCCTAGAATAAAAAGTATCTATGAGGTCACAAAGTCGCAGTTTCAAATAAATCTGATGTTCTCTGTTTGTTTAGTTCAGTGTCAATTGAAAGAGAGGGGTTAAAGAAAAGTTACAATATTTAACTTTCCACTTGTGGTTTTATTTTTCAAAAATTCACGTTGCATTCTCATATCTCAGGTTGTTGACTTTAATGCATATCGCGCAGGGGTGGCAATGTGCTGAAGAGATCAAATTTATGAGAAACTACTGGTACAACATTGTAACCTAACTTCAAATTTTGTTTAAGTATAAAAGAAATAATCTTATTTGTTTTTAATATGTTTATTCTTCTCGATAAATAACTGTTGAAAAGAATGAACTAATCGACTGGATTGTACACCCTAAATTAGTAAAAATATATCTATGAAGAGAAGGGGGGGGGATAAACTATGTCGAAAAATATTGAATATTTTTAAAACACTGTTGTTCTTCATGAAGTAAACGAACCGTAAAGTCAACTAAAGTCGACTAAACTTACATGAAAATAAAATAGTTTTCAACAATTAAAAATTTTTTTTATATATTTTCTTATAAAGTAGTATCTGGGGTTTCCAAAATGATATTAAACAACATTCCAAGTCAAAAACTATGTATTTTATGATCCTTTTAAAAGAACAAGTTCAAAACGTCCAAACACGTCATTTAATTATAAGAAAGTTAAAATTTTCAAAAACTCAAAAAACGGAATTTTTTGAACTGTTCGTTAATTGGCCCTTTTTGAAGGTATTTCAAAAAGTAATGACATTTTAGAATAAGTATAAAATATAGAAAATGAAAATAAAAATATTTTTTTTGTTCAGTTCTCAGGGTATGTTAGTGAGGTGGAAGTGCGCATCAATAAAATTGATGATTTTGGAGCTAAAACTGCTTATAAAACTATGATTTTTCAAAATATTCAGTATAAGTTGGTTTTATCTAATTCTACCAGTTAAAGTATCCTCTTCAGGCTTCTGAACTGACCACCAAAGCGGGACTTTTGATCAGGTGACGCCGGCCGTAGGTTGACCGAGTCATCAACCCAGCTTTCAGCGGTCACAGGTCTAGTTCTCATATATCAAGGTATACTAGGATACAGTTGAGATCTAACACTAGTTGAGGAAGATTATATCTTATCAGAGGCAGCTACCATTTTATTTCAAGGTAATTTATTTAATAACAATTGTCATTAATACAAGTTTGCACATGTTTTTATCAGAATATTGATGTTTTTTTTTTCACAGAAACATAAATAAAGCCCAATGTCCTGAATTGACTCTATTTTCTATGGTTCGTTTACATAACTTCAAGTGAACTCACCAAATTGGAAGTTTCGAAAAATATAACACAAAAAAATACACTCTCTACGCTTCTAACAAAATGACTAATCTTTCATCTTAACTTTTTGTAAATAAAAATTACTTTTGTTGTTCAGGATGTTTGCCATAAGCCTGATCTGTCTTGTGGCAGCTATTGGTTTGTCTGAGTGTGCTCCTCTTCCTCAGTTTGGGGGATTTGTCAATGCCCTTGAACATGCAGAATCCGCCATATTAGGAGGATTAGGTTTGGGCGGAGGGTTTGGCGGAGGATTTAGTGGATCACAGTCTCAAGCACAGTCTGAATCCCTTGGCGGAGGTTTTGGCGGAGGACTTACCGGATCACAGTCCCAATCCCAGTCTCAATCCCTTGGTGGAGGGTTTGGCGGAGGACTTAGTGGATCACAATCTCAATCCCAGTCTCAATCCCTTGGCGGCGGGTTAGGCGGAGGATCACTGTCTCAGTCCCAGTCTCAATCCCAGGCCGGATCCTTTGGTGTTGGATTTGGCGGAGGGTTTTCTGGTGCTCAATCTCATGCAGGATCTGTGGGAGGCGGGGGGTTGAGTGGAGCGTCTTCCCAGGCCGGATCATTTAGCGGTGGATTTGGATTCGGCGGTGGATTTAGCGGAGCTGAATCTCAAGCATCCTCTTTGGGCGGATTTAGAGGATAGATCATATTCTTCTATTTGTTTTATCTTATAAAATACTGCACAAAGTTTTATTAATTAGCCAATGTAACAAAAGCAAATTTTGTTTCTGTTAAATGAAATTGAATAAGAAAAACGGTGCTGTGGTGTCCCTGTCAGTGCCCCAAAGCCTGATCAATTGCTGTACAACGATTTCCTTATTGTAAGTTAACTTTAGAAAAATAACTTTTGAGATATTTCAAATGAAAACGAAACATGTAACAACTCTATATGTTCATCTATTTAGATTAATAAACTATATTTTGTTCAATGTTTTTAATTTATAAGAATTTAGTTCAAGAATCCTGCTTAAAGTTATTTGATTAGTTACAGTTAGATTTATTACGCAAACAAGAAAAGTTCGTTTTTGCAAGGCTACATTTTGCTTCCTCATAACGCCTCTTTTTATATCTTACACCCTTGCTTGTATATATAATGATATTTAAATCTTTTTTTATAAAGCTTAAAATAGATTTATTTAAGAATATGTACAATTTCTACTTTGAAAAAGGGAATTAAAATTTGGATAAATGTATTTTATGTTGGTACTTTTGTAACAAATACAGTGGCAAACCCTATATTTGTTAACCTATACATATCTTGATATATTACGTTGTACATTGTCTGTAAATCTAAATGCGCTTGTAAATATCTACGCAAAACTTGTATTGCGATTAACCCAACCTAGCTACGTCTGTAAATAATTTGGTCAAACCTGTATTGTAATTAGCTTAACTACGCTTATATATATCTGCGCAAATCTTATAAATACGTACATTAACTTAACCTGTAACATAGATATCCAAATACATGTCTGTTGGAATAGACTCCGCTTTGATTACAGTGAGAGAGTAATTGTTCCTCGAACAAGAAACCACTTCTTGAAAGATAGACAGAGATTGGACATTGTTTATATAAATCATGTCCGGATTGACATTGATAGTTTATGGTTCAGATAAATCGTGTCCGGATTGACATTGATAGTTTATGGTTCAGATAAATCGTGTCCGGATTGACATTGATAGTTTATGGTTCAGATAAATCGTGTCCGGATTGACATTGATAGTGCAGTATTATTGAACTGATTAGCTCTTTTGCCTCGTAGACCAACGAGAGGGATTAGTTGCACCTGGATGTTTAGACCTTTATGAAGTAAGGCATTTACTACACTATAAGATGTAGTTTCAAGTGCCTCTCCATTATATATAAGGTATATAAGGTGGATCCGATTCATAATGGAACCTTTTAAAGGGAGTGACCCGCTATGTAAGGTAGTTGAACTGAGTATGCTGTGTTGTGGAAAGCTTCTTTCGGATTCATTTGAGACATATTAAACTTTTTAAAGATCTGTAAATCTTGAATTTGAGCGCAAATTCGATGTTCAAAACTTCTATTTTAAGGGTGGATACATTTTCAGAATTGTTTTTTTTAAACTATTCAATAATGACGACATAAAATGTAAAAAAGTTCTACAATAAACTACACACGTCAAGTAGGAACATGTTGAGAAAATAAAAATTAATCTTTTCATCGAAAATAAGTAATCTTGTTCAACTATTATCTCATTATTCTGGTTTCTCATTATTCACAAAGATTATCTCAGATTTTCTAGAATTATTATTGAAAAGACGACATTTGAAGAATTTGAAGAAATCTGCGAATAAATTTCAAAGAAAATTAGAAATTCAATATAATAATGAAAAGGAAATAATCGATTTTAGCATTGATTTATTGACAAATTTCTTTTGAGAAATATGTTCCTAACCATCTAATTAGATTACTGTATAATGTTTACTTTATTTTTCGTTTTCGTTATTTAATAATTTAAAAGAAACTAACGTATCCACCCCCAAAGTAGGAGTTTTGAACGTCGAATTTGCGCTCAAACTCAGGATTTACAGATCTTTAGAAATTTTATTATGTCTCAAATGAATCGGAAAGAAGTTTTCCACAACACTGTATACTCAGTTCAACTACCTTACATAGCCAGTCACTCCCTTTAAACCTTGTCTAATTAATCATCGATGCCACAGAAATACTTTTCTTGATAACTGAAAATCCAATGTATAATGTAAACTTAATGCATAAAAGCGGCTTCGCAGAAAATAACGTCATAACTCAATTTTTAACGAGAAAAAATAAGGATTTTCCAGTCATCTTTTATCAGACAAAGGTTTAAAGGGTAATAGGACTTGTCACTACAAATATATTGCCGCTTGACTTAAAAAGAAGCAACTCTCTAAGTATATTTAAAAATAGACTACTAAATTCTCTTTTTGAAAATTACAGGACAATGTGTTATAAACCGAATTGCTATTCATGTAAAACTAATTAGATATGTTTTAATATGCTTTGATATTTGTTGTGTACATGTCAGAAAATTACTTTAAACTCTAGTTATTCTTATTAATGTATTATTTATTTTGAATAGGATAAAATCGCACCCTGATCTCTAATAGTTCTCCTTAAATCTATTTAATTGAAATGTGTTGTTATCATTATTGAAATTAGGTGGAAAAAATAATCAAAACAGCCAAGAGCTATTTTCCACCTAATTGCTTTATTCTTGTATAAATATATAATATAATCATCAATTTGTAATTGTAAAATCGTTCTGTACACAGATACATGTATTTTAGCAATAAACTTTATCTTATCTTATCTTATCTTATCTTATCTTATCTTATCTTATCTTATTATACGTGTACACTCCCTTTAAAATTATTCAAGTTATTGGTTTAAAAGTATAAAAAAAAGTTTAACAATCTAAGGATCTCGAAATTCTTCTGATCCTTAAAAATGCAGATCTCTAGAGAAGATTGCAAGGATGAACTTAACATATTTTCTGCAGAACAATATTTTATGCGAATCCAGGTCCTGACCCTGGATTCGCAATCTTGGTCTAAATATGCACGATTTTGATCTTTGCAGTTCATCTCTGATGATATATATATATATTCACCCTGATATATATATATATTTAGGTATGTATAAATTCTTCGTTATTGATCATTGTTTAGCTGAATAGTAGAGAGAACAAAAACAGAAGAGAATATTCTTTTATCAATTATCATAAAAATACTCGATAATTTTTGTTAAAAACCATCATGCAGAGTTAAAAATAACACAGATGTTTCACGTGTTTAAGAGCAAAATAGTGAAATTGTATGCTATTAAATACACCATCACGTAAAACTAACGATAAACGAAGTATATCGAAATTTGTATCTCTTATTAAAAACCCGTCATAAAAAGCGTTAGCCAGTTTATATACTTTAATGTTTGAAATATATACATAGCCTATACCAAAAATATTTATTTTAAATGCGAAAAAGCTACAATTGATGGATGAGAATGGATTCTAAAATAAATAAATAAATAATGATTTATTGTGATAAAATCAAATAGTAATTATCATTCACAGATAATTATGAAACAAAAAGGTTACCGGTTCAGCAGTCTCTGGATATGAGGAATACCAGATTTTCTATATTTTTCTGTCCTGGCATGATTAATAACATGATACTGCTCCTGGGGGCGTAGTTGTTGTTCATGTGGATGAACTGCAGCAGGGAAGAGATGATGATGTTTAGAAGATTTAATACATTTCTTTGCAAAAAAGAGGGAAAACTTGTCCCTTCTTGACACCAGGGTCTCCAGTTCACAGGACTCCAATGCACTTATATATCCAACATAATCTTTGCCTAGAATAATTTTTAGGCGAACTCTCTGTTTCCGTTCAAGGGCATTGTTTTGGTGAATTGTGAGAGAAGAGTGCCATACAACACAACAGTACTCGACATTACATCTGATATAGGTTTTATAGACTGATAATAGGTCTTCCATTTTCAGCCCAACATACTTCAGCTTAGAGAGGATAGATATCCTAGTATACGCCTTCTTACAAATCTCCATGGTGTTCAGCTCCCAGTCCAGGGTGTCAGTCAACCAAATTCCCAACAGCTTTACAGCTTTACCTCGATCTAGATTATTGTTGTTGAGCTGTAGACGTGAACGTGGGTTCTAAAGTTGAGACTCCCTGATTTTTAACCAGGATCTCTAATTCTCTAATTTTTTATAAATCCATTTCTACTTTAATGGTAAAAACTGTTCTAAGGGTTTCTAATGTGATATCAAAAAAGTTTTTAGTTTCCCAAGTGCCGCAAGATAATTTTAAATTCAAACAAATTTCTGAAAATGTAATTTTGATGTAATTTTTCCTGCCTCTCCCTTTTCCCAAGCAAACGGTGCCACCAAATTGAAGGTGGTGGTTTGTTAAACAGTGCCATATGAATATTTTTCAGTGTCAATCTCCCCCCCCCCCACCCCCTGTAAAATTCGGTGTGAAAACTGAAGATTTCCCTAGCTTCCACGAGCTTCCATGAGATTCCAACAAACTATCCTATCCATGTTCCAGGAACTGATATGCAAACATTTTTGATATTCTTTTTGCACTTTTATAAGAGATCCTAACGATACGATCAGCATGTCTAAAGTACAGAAGACAGTTCAGTCTTTTGAACACTCTGTTACGAATATGCGAAGTTTGCATATTGATCCTCCTATTTCCTTCCCTTATAAGCCCCTAGCTCTCAGCATTGGTCGTAAAGGATTTTAAGTATAACTAAAAGGGCTGTTTTTATTTTTTTCAGTGCCAAATGCATTTCAACTTTAACTCGCATAAAGAAAAGCTTTTAACAAAACACATTCCTTAAAACAACACAACAACAGTGCAGTCTAATTTAAACCTTAGACCCCCCCCCCACACTTCCAGTTGCGCCCCTGAATAGCGCCACCCTTTTTCATCTCCTTGACTATATAAACCACTACACCTGTTCACAGTATATCTGTACAACCAACGAGTAATCAGTATTTCCTGTAATTAACAAATATAATTATAAAGATTAAAATTAACAAGTTTAACTTAATTAACCAAGAAACCGAAGACTCCAATTATTTTATAATATTTAATTATTTAATTAACTTAGCGTGTAGAGCATATAAATAAGAGGTGATGTGCTTCTTTGCATGGCATCAATGGTGGCATTAATTGCATATTGTGTAGAATTCGTATGATGCCGACTTTAAAGAAGTTTACTCGCTGAACCGCCAAAAACCAGTTCCAATTGAGCGCCGGCTCAAATCTCGAAACACTGAATACAATTTCGAGTGGAACCAACCATGTTTGAGCCACGTATCACAGGAATTTAGTTTTTGTCACAAACTCAAATTTTCTATTCGTAAATCTTTGCAACCTGATGGTGTTGTCTT